GATTTCCCAAAGAGTCACATCTCCAATAGGTTCCATCATCTCTGAATCCTAATCCTGCCTGCCCAGAGACCAAGTCTTCAGTGTGGGTAGGTAATACATCTGAACGTTGTGCTCTGTGCAAGCTATTGTCAATTAAACACAACCACAGATAAACCCAACCACAGATATCTATTCATACCTACATTTGATTTGGATGAGTTTTTTCAAAATTTTAGAAGTGGAAATATAAAAGTGTCATTCTGTTTGGAGGCTCATTTATATGGCAATAGGAAAAATGAAGACAATCAAGGTTTTTCTTTTTATTCAACAGACAGAGGTTCAGGAATTCAATCTGTTAGATGGGGACAACACTTTGAGACCAATGGTCACCTCGCCTGTACCCTCTCTCATGTATGTCCCACCTCATTACAAGATCTGCAGTGATATAGTAGTTACAAGGTATAAGAATGGTAAACACGCGTGAGATAAAGGAGAGAGTGAGTCAAGAAGCAAACGTGGAATAAAAAAATGACAGTAATAGCTGTTGTAGCTAGGTCTCTAGGATGTCAATATGGAAAGTGATTGATTATTACTAATTTTCAAAGAAGGATTCAATCTTCTGATTTTCAGGAGAAGCTGTTTTTCCTAGCAGTAAATTTCAAAGTGGCTGCTTCTGGGGAACCTCATACAGGAGCCCTGAGTGGTAAGGAGGATACTATGTTCAGCAACATTCTCACCGCAGATGATGGTAATGGGCACATGTGGCTAATCTTGTCACATCTCTATGACCTAAGTGTGATAAGAGTGTGAATTATTAACAACTGATTTTGACCAAATGAATATACATCAATCTGGGGGGCACACTCTGGCTTTTGGGCCCTTACACGACCTCGTTAAGAATCCTCATCTCCTGCATTCACGTTGTTCTGTATCTCTGACCCTTGAGTATAGATAGGACCTATGGCTTGTTTCTAGTGTATGTGCTGCCAAACCGAGCATCTTATGGTTTCTTCCTAACCAATGAAATTATGCATCATATGATGGGATATTACTTCTCTGGTAATGTTCCTTAGGACTGTAACTTCCAATCCAGGAACTGAAGGTACCACAGCTCTGGTCAGCAGCTTCACTGTAGCACCATAATTTCCTGATCCAGGAGACCCAGCTCAGTCACACAGAGATTCCTGACCACAGAAACAGTGATCTAAACCATGTGTTATCTTAAGCTGCTAAGTACATGGTAATTTGTTAGCAATAATAAACAATTCAGAAACACTTTCAAGAAATATAAAGCAATATAGGTGCTTTTGCTAGGTAAATATGCCACCCAGGGAATATTGGTTAGTGTTGTATTTCAGATTTTGATCACTTTTTGAGCTTCTGATTATTATTCCTCACTTCCTGATTAGTATCAATGCCAAATCTCTGGCAGAAACATTCATTATAAAAATGTGAATAACCTTGCCATGGAGTCAGAGTTATAGACACATGATGTGCATGCTGAGATAATTAGAAATTCTTAAAAGCAAAGACAAGAATAGAACTTGGGTATGGATGAGCTTGTGACAGGTGGCATAAAATGATTCCTCTAGGGCCTTCAAGGCTCTTCATAAAATTTGTCAGACACAGAAAAGCCAATCTATTTTAAAAAATATACCTGTATAGTCACTACCCCAAAAGAGTATTAGATGAAGATATTCTGCAGAGAGAATGGTTTTGAGGTTAGATGATGGATTAGATAAATTCTTCATTCCTTCAGCATTTATTCAACAAATAATTTTATTATATTCCATGAGCAAACCTCTTCCAAGATGGTGGAAATAAAGTAAGGAAGAGTTAAGTCCTGCTCTTGAGATAAGAATCATGACTATACTAAAAAAAAAGAAAATACTCCATGCAGAGGTATGCCAATCATTTTATGATAATTTGATTCATGAAATAACTGTTTGACGTTATATCAATTTAATATATCAGTAAACTGAGATTTCAAAGTCATAAAGCAAGTTAGAAAAAAAGTTGGAATTCAGTGCTCAGTCTTTGGACGTTATAAATTGCTTTGCCACCTAACCTCTTATTTAATGGCAGTTTCTCACTTTATGCTTATGTTTATTGTAAGTAAGTTTATTATAAAAGTTTAGAAGTTATGGGCAAATAGTTGGAGGGAAGAATTCATCTTTCTACCAGTTATGGTTTATGTCTGCATGTCCCCCCAAGTCCTCATGCAGTCATGGGGCAGGCTTCTATTCTAGATTTTTTATTGATCCATGGTCCAATGCTGAGATTATGGGTGTGAGTGCTACACCTACCTTGGAGCAGACAGTTTGCATACAATGTAAGGGAGAGAAAGAGGCTGCTTGCCGCCGCTCCTCCCTTTTGCTCTTGTTGATTTTTCTATCTTCTGCTGCCATGAACTGTTGCCCTCTGTCATGTGCCACTCTGCCTTGGAGCCAGCCTAGTATGAATTGAAACCTCCACAAACTGAGCTAAATAAACCTTTCCTTCCTTAATTCAGGGTGTCAAGTATTTTGTCTCAGCCACAAGAGAAAGTAACCAAGACACTACCATTTTATAAGTAGTATCAAGTTATGAATATTTCAGTGGACAAGTGGATGGATAATCATCTGCATGGAAATGGTTTAATTAAACTGTTTGTATTTTGTCTTCTGACCTCTTTGGGGCTTCTTGCACAGGGATTTTTTCAGGGAGCTACTCAAAATAAGCCACGCTTCTGGCCATTGTAAAAACCTAAAATTCATACAAGGGATGAAATTTCCTTTGTCCCAAAGACAGGAGGGATGGATTATCTTGACTGACCACAAGGAAGAAGAATCTCCAGCTAGACTGTTAGGAGAAAAATGTGGATAGATCCTAAGTGTCCAGTCCAGCTGGCCTCCATGGAGGTGAAGGTGAGGAGCGCTCAGGGAGGCACAGTTGTGCAGTTCACCAACAACGCTCGGTCCCAAGGGTGTGAACAGCTCCAAGTAAGCAGCAGCACTGCCATCGAGGGGACCGGTGGTCATGTACAGCTGTGATATGGACACTGGAGAAATAGCATCAGTCTCCAGAGAGGGTCCTGGAATATGAGGGTCCTTCTGATATTTGGGGGCTCCTTGAGGTCCAGGGATCCTTTCACAACTCAGAATGGAAAGCTCTAGTCATAATAGAAATGAAACATCTTGTCATTCTAGTAGTTGAAATGCTCAGAGGAAGGCTGGAGAGAAGTAATGTGACACTTCTGGCACCACTGGCTTTGTGGACCAGAGCCATAAAGTCCCAAATATAAATATTAGGCAGTATGATGTGACAACATTCTAATGAATTTAGGGGATAAGAAGATAAATAAGGCAGAATCTCTCTACTTATAATTTATTGATAAACAAACAAATTCTTTAAGAATTACATGTGCCAACAACTCAGTGAATTAGATGGTGCTTTTCAATTTTGTAAATAGCAATATATAAGTTAAAAGGGATAGAACTAGTAGATAAGAATAGGTAGATGAGAGAGGTGGGGGAATATAAACAGACATCTTTTCTTGATTGTGAATACTGAAGTCTACTAGGTAAATCCTAAATTTGGAAAAGAGATCAGTGAGCTAGAAACTTGTACACACTGATACTTTAGACTTGAGACAGAACTTCTTCCAAAAAACTTCATTTTTGCTTTTAATGATCTTCAGTTGATTCTGTGAGATTCACTCATATTATCAAAGACCCTTTCCTTTACCCAACCAACCTGCTGTTAGCTCAACTTACCTGAAAAATAGTCTCACTTAGGCTCTTATTGAATAACTGGGTGCTTTAACCTAGGCAAGCTGATAAAGCTCACTGTTCCCACAGGGACAGGGAGAGTTGAGCTGCAGTTTGAAGACTGACGAGGACTCCACACATGGAGAAGAATAAAAATCATGACACGCAGCAGGAGTTTGGGGAATGCTGTATTGTTTTGTGGGGCTGCAACCAGGACAGAATAATAGAGAAACGCTAGGGAAAGTCAAGACAGTGATCCAGCCTGGGAAAAGAAGTCCCGTGAGGCTCCCAGCTCATGGGCTAATTGATCAGGTGTAAATACTGGAAAGACAGGTCTGGAGACAGCACCGAGAATGCTGAGGAAATAGGTTCACAAAGCGAAGAGGTGATGGTCTGAATACAAACTCTGGCTGTGAGGCTAGGGAAGAGCAATGTCATAGGGAAGATGTGGAAGAAACAGACTGCACAACCTGTAGACTCCCCTGTCTGTCACCCTAACCCACCCCTACAACTCTTTCATCCAGCTCTGTGGCTTGGAGTTGTCACTGATATCTTCAACACTTAGTCTGTTTGGCCACTACCACTCTGGGGAATCCCTGGAGAGTGCCTAATAGGAAAGGCATAAATGTAAAGCATTCTGATCATGGTTGTGTAGAGCACTTTGACTCGAACACAAGCACATACCAGCTGTAAGCATGTGCAAGTGTGAGCAGACACACAGAGCCACTCACTGCTGACTGTACAGTTGGACACCTAGAAAACCGGCTTTAAGACTCCATTTTTTGAAGTCACAGCTAGAAACCGAGCCCTGACACACCTCTGCACAAAATGGAAATGTAATAGTACAGCATGAGGGTGCAAAGGGGCAGTAGATTGACAAATATTTTAAATCCCGGTTCTATGTCCATGACAATTCCTAGAGCCTTACAAAGACAGAGAATGAAATTCTTCTTTGGTCAAAGCCTGATAGGATTTGCCTCTTTCCAGTGTCATTTGCAGCGATTACCCCCTACTGTAGATGGTGCCAGGCTCTGTGGTCGTCTCTGAATCCAAAATCCACAAAGCGCTCCCCAGATCAGCCTTGTGCACACTGAGTTCCAGTGAGGCTGCCTCAGTACCTCGAATTAATGTCTTAAGTCCCCATCTGAACACATACGCATGCCCCAAACGTCTCTTTCTCACCCTCCTGTTTTCCCTGAGTATGTCGGGATGATCCCAAGCATTTCTCCTGCTCACTTATCATCTCTAAATTTCAGAAAAGAAACACAATGATTTGTGCAGGGCCTTCTGAAATAATTTTATTCCAAAAATTTTGTGTTGGGGGTGCATGCCACATCCTGAACTGGAACTCAAGAGATAACACGAGTGCATGAGGGACAGTGCCTTGCTCTCCAAGAGCTCAAGAGAAAGTGGTAGGGAGATGATGGAGTGAGTCCAGGATTGAGAAACAAGTCGGTATCAGGGCTTGACCTTGAGAACATATCCTGAATGTTACATTCCAGGCCTAGTATTACACTCCAAGTGTTTGGTGAAGAAGAATTTCTCTTGGGAGTAGCTCACAAGTAGAGGATGGAGCTGTGACACTGACAAAGACTAAACGCCAGGGACCAGGTGGTGGGAGCTGAAGTGGAGCTGGAATCTTGCTATTTCTAGCAGAAGCAATGTTTAGGAGCAAAGGTAAGAGACTGGTAATGCTATAAACTCCTTTCCTGATGGCCAGTGGAGAAGCTTTGGAGAAAGAGCACTATTGGCATTGAGATTCCTGGAATTAACTACGGGGCAGCAGTATCCAAATGAAGCAAAGTGTTTCTCTTCCTTCTATCTGAGCTACCGGATGATGCACCTCGAGTGTGTTTGACACCTGGACTTGTCCATTCTGCTCTGTGAACAGAAGAAAAAAAAGGAAGACAAGAGACAGAGCAGCAGGCAGAGAAAGACATCCATATTTTGTAGGGTGAAAACACAAGATATAGCATAGTGCTTCCTAAACTTGCTTACTTTGTGGTAAGCATGGGAACTACTGTGTGTGGGACACATCTGGATACGTGGGTGATTTGCTACGCCCACTCAGCTACTATGAGGACGGGCTGAGGCATCCTGGTAGCACATCTGTAATGCACACTGACTGGGAAAGGAGAGAGGCAGCCTCCACCAACTGTGACTACAAAAGAGATGCTGTGATTGGAGGCAGAAATAGAAACAAATATCAGGGAGACTACCTAGGCCAGGGAGCACCAGAAGAAGCACTGCGCAAAGAGGAATACTTTCCCCACTGAGCGGCTGACCTCAGCTCCTGTTGCCCACCCCCAACCCCCTCCCAGTCTCCTTTCATTGATAGCTTCCCTCCAGAGTAGATGCGACATCTCAGGAAATGGTAGAAAGGATGCAGACGCGGAGCTTAGGAGAAAAGGGGAACCAAGTCACTGCAGAGTCCTCACTCTGTGTTTCCAACTAAGCAGTATCTCCTGTGCTTCCAACCACCCAGGCAGCAGCCATCCAAGTATAGAAAATGGAGCCAAGAAAGAAAGACGCCGAGCTTGACCTTTCAGGACTCTGACTCAATGCTGCCATCTACCTCTCTCCCTGGTATTGCTTCGTCCAGGAAGGCCTTCATCTTCAGGGGCCTGTCATGACTTCAGTGAACAGTTAGTTGCTGGAAGGATCTGCAGAAGAGAAGTGAGGTTACCAGGCTGTATCTTTGGCGTTAGGAGCCTCCTAGAACCAGAACCCTGTGACTCAGCCTCAGAGATGTGGGCTTTGGAAAAACCTCATCCCCAGCCTTGGAGCCACCACAGTACTGAGATCTCTCAAAGACCCTCTGGGGAGTGCGGAGTGTTTTGAAAACCTCTCTCCAGCCTTTCCACCTGCACCTGTGTCCCAGGCATGCTCCGTCTACCTCCCCCTCCCTCTGATGACAGCCACCAGTCTGAATGAATCTCTACGTACTCACGATAAGGGAAACAATGTGGTGGCAGCTGGAGTCCTGTCTTTCCTACGAGGAAATTATAATTTAACAGGAGCTTTATCCCAGAAAAGGCTCTTCCAAGGTGGGACATCGTAATCTAGGACAAAGCAACATCTGGAATGAGGATCTTGGCAATGGCAGGAGCTTCCCGTCTCCGCAACCCCAGCCAAGGTGGTTTCTAATGCTTGCTTCTAATTCCCTGATTCTCACACTGCTGCAAAAAGACAGGACAGTCGAAATCACAACAGTGTCCTCCCAGATCTCTAAGCAGGAGAACTGGGCCGGGGTATTCTCCTTCTTCCAGAGTTCTACAAGCCAACTGCCAAAACAGCCCGGAGACCTCAACGGATCCAACTGCCACGAGTGGGGGAGGGGAATCTGAGAGTCGGAGACTCCCACCCTTTCACTAACTGTCACTAACTTTCCGCAAGCTCCCTGGGGAAGAAGTACCTCTGAGCTTGGAATGAGGAGCCTCATGGTTCCCAACTCTCCTTTGAAGAAACAAGGGAACAAAGAGACCGCTAAATAGCTTGCGGGTGTGAGCAAAATCATTTCCTCAGTTGGAGTGACTGAAAAGAAACTTTATGCCTATCCCATATATAGTCAGAAAGATGCAGTATTTATATAGCTGCAGTCTACCAGGCACACATGTATTGCTCAGGAGGTAGGCGGGTATAACGGCTGTACCAAGAGTAGACCTTCAGACCTTGCCAAGTGCACCCCCAAAATGGGCATGGACAGGGCCTGAGCCTTGGAGCAGCTGGAGGGACTGAGGAATAGAAGGGATGGGGCAAAAGCCAGGAAACTCACGATGTGAGTTTTTCCTGTGAAATCGTGCCCTGCCGTCTACCCCACCATCACCAACATGTCAGTATCTCAGTTTCCATGAAATAAAAATGGAACATCCTGAGATGAATGCAGAGAGGAAGGAAGAAGAACTCCCAGTGGCAAAAGATCCTGCGTGCATGGAATTGGGGCAGAAAATTGCAGACATGATGAATATAGCAAGACTGATGAGGGAGAAACTGTGATTTGATAAAGGGAGGCTAGAAGGGAGGAGAAAAGGGAGGAAAAAATGGGAATGGACTTGTTCAGACTGGACAAGTCCAGGTGATGTAAAGCAGAGAAAGGTAGAGAAAGAGAAGGGGGGAAGGGGCGGGCAGCGTGGTAGAGAGTGGTAGAGACCTGGGGAGATGAATTCAGTAGGCTGCATTGCCAGATGTCCTCTTGCTCCAGGTCATTGCTGAATACAGGCAGGCAGGCAGCAGGTAAAAGAGGCCAGTGAGCCTTTCTATGTCCTCCTCTATCTCCTCTATCCAGGATTCCCTGAATCCCAGCCCTGGAAGCAAAGACAGGGAGGGATCTCAATAAGGTGGAGTGGAAGGGTGGAGACTGGGCATCCTTTCAGAAAGAAATTGTAGCTTAACAGTAGCCTCTATACTGGCCAGGAAATACCCCTCTAATGGTGGAGAGTTAAGCATCCAGCAGAGCGCTGGAGGAAGCTGATACGGTTGGGGTGTTACCTTAAACCCATCACTCTCCAGCCTGGGTCCCATCTCTTTCAGGGAAGCCCAGTGGGAACCCATATTTGAGGGACATAAATGGCTCCAAGGCTGGAAGAGGGAAGTTGCCTGGAAAGTTGTGGTCCTAGATAGATACACCAGGGAATATCAGCCTTGGTACACCTTGGTACATCCTCACCTGAAAGAACCTGTGCCAGGCTGCCTGAGAAACCCCAGCAGGAGTTACTGCCATTAACTGTCATTATTTCTTTCCCTAAGCCCAGAGGTGGAAGATTTACTCCTGGGCTCAGAGAACCCCTCAAGCATTCCTCTTGCCTGTCAGTTCTCAGTGCCACAGGGCCCAGTGTTCTGGTGAGACACAGGTCATGACCAGGAGTGAAAACCCAAATTTTATGTCTGTGAGAGTAGTACATTTCCAAGGAAGATAATAAATGAGTTCCAAGGAAGATAGTAAATGAGTCCCATGGTCAAAATATCTGTCTCTTTCCTTTTGGGTTCCCTGTTGCCCCTCTGATATTTGTTCAGGATCTTGCCATTGTTTTATCAAATATTTACTGAGCTATGCTGAGCAGTGGGGAGCAAAGATGAATGACACAAAGTTTCTGTGTCAATACCTTCGTCTGCAGTGAGAAAGGGCAGACTGACATGTGAAGAATGAAAAGAGAAATACAAGTTCCAAGGCCAATGGCTTAGATGGACATACCCCATAGCTCTCATCCCACAGATAATTACAACTATTGACAGAGTATTAAAGATTTCAAAATGGCCCAGAGGAGATGTATGAGATTGGAAATAGTTTACTGTAACCAAGCAGACAGGAAGTTAAAAATTTAGGAGAATTCTTTGTTCACTTGGGAGTTTATAGTCTTAAGAAAAACACACGCACGTTGTCAGGGTGTAACTTTCATTAAGCACTGATACTGGGAAAAGGAAACTGTTTGGGATCTTCGAGTCCAGGGTGCCCTTCAAAATATCTATTGAAAATGCAGACTAATGCTGGAGCCCTCAGGATTGTAAGAGATTCTAAGGGTGCAATCTGAATGTATCAGAAAGAAAAGAAGGAATTGAGAATAACAGACCAGGGAACCCCTCAATATCTAGATTTGGGAACTTCACGGTTGTGTACAGACCATGTTTGTGTGTGAAGGCTGCCACACCAGTATCTGCAAGTGAAGTGCTGAGACACCCAGGGTCTGATTCCACCGAGATGGTAACGTCTCAGATAATAGCCAATGGGGAGACTTAGTGATCTCATAGAAGTGAGGTGGGAGTGTCACCAAGACGGTACCTCCTGGAGGTCAGAACCAGAGCTTGAGAAGGAAGATAGGAAACTGTGTACCTGCAAGCAGACTGTGACCTAATCCCTCCCTGCTGTCCTTATGCTGACCCATTATTGATAAGGGTTATTTGATGAGTCTCACATACACCCATGAGTCCAGACTTGAGAGAAAGAGCTGAGCCAGGTAAAGGAAATAAGAATGCTGAGATCGTATCTGCAGGAAGAAGAAGAGGGGCAGAAAACACAACGGGGTGAGAGAAAAGGAATTGTAATGAGAAACATCATCACATAGATGAGAGGAGGCACCAGAAAGGAGAGGCACAAGAGAATGGTCCTCATCTTGGGGTGAGGGGAGCAGGCTCCAAGTGACATCAGGACAAAGATAGAAGTACAGCTGTGTGGAGGGGCCTTTTCCAAAAAGAATGGATTTTGTGGGAACCACAGGCCTCAGAGTAAAAGCAAGCAGCAATGGGGGCAGGGGCTGGTTTGCTGAGTAGACCAGTTGCTGTGTCAGGCAAAAGAAATTTCTTCTTGGGGGCTGAGGACAAGGAATAGGCAGGGGTACAGCACTGGCATCTGCTCTTCCCCTCTGTTTTTAAGTGTAGGGCATGACTCTTCTGGAGTACAGTATAGAAGAAGAGAAAAAGTGGAGGCCAGGAGAAGCAGCTCTGGGCCCAGAATGCCTCCCTTGGGAAGTGGGCATCTCTAGCCTGTGAGTGGCACCTTTGAGACTTGCAGGGATCCCTGTCCCAGGCCAGCCTTGAGTATCTGTTTGGGACCTCAGGGAGAGTTCTTTCAGAGCCTCCCTCACCCAGCCCTAAACACATGTCCTTGGTGGAGTTGAGGGAGTTGTTAATTTTCCCTCCCCTCTGTTAAGGGCTGGGAGAAGGAGGTGGATCTTCTTTGCAGGGACTGAGGAGTTCTGTGCTCAGAAAGTGCATGAAAGAATTGATGTAGTGGGCATGCTGGGGTCACCAGGAGTCTCTGACAAGCCACTGCTGAGACTGTGCTGCGAGATGGTGCTGCCACCCATTGGATTATACCGTCTACCTTCTCGCTCACTCACCACACCTCACAGAAAAGAGGGCTGTTCCTCTAGGAGATGGCCAGTGCCACCACCTAGCTCTTCCTTCCAGAGACCACTGCTTGCTACAGGGCTGTGGAACTGGAGCTGTGAGACTTCCAAGCTCCTCCTCTATGGGAGCTGAAGCTGTGAACAGGGGTCCAGATGAAATTGAACACTTGGAAAACGGATAAATCACAATGCACTTCGAGATGCTGGTAGCATCTTGGGTTCAAGAATTGGGCTTAGGATTTCTTTTCAGCCAGGGCCCCAAGGTGGTTTTCTCCAAATCAGCTGCTTTGACTATCTGAGCTACTGGAGAAATGAGACTTTCAGGTGTGTCCAATTTCCTATTGCCTTAGAATAGGACCTATATGTACCCGTTGGCTTCCACTCCAAAAGAAAGTGCTCAGAACTTGCCCCACTTATCCCAACTGAGTATGTGTCAAAAAAAGGCGCTGTTTATCTGATCTCTGTTTCCTTATTCCACAGCACATCCAAAGGTCATTTCCTTATTCACTGATCAGTGTTTCCCCCAAGCAGTTATTCGCTTGGACTTGGTAGCAGTGAATGACTGCACGGTGCTCCTTGCCTCAGCCGAGGGAAAGACTTAATACCAGAGGAAGTGGCAGTGGTCACAGATAATTATAGGAGCCTTTGTTAGAGCTCACATATCAAGACCCCATGGTCATTCTCCCATTTAGCATCAAATAGGGATCTAAATCCATGTGTAAGAACAAAGATAGCTAAAATGCCACTAGGAAACCACTTGGGAATATATTGGGGGTCAGAAGGCATGAGACAGATCCCTCTAATCAAGATCACATGGTCTTAAAAAGAGATGCTCCTTTGGATGTCCACATGTGTATCATCATCCTTACTGTATTTAGAGACCAGAAAAAAAAATCACTGGGGCTGTATGTCCTATGTAGAATATATCTCAAATTATTAGAAGCCTCAAGTATATGAGTACAAGGGATTCAGAGAAGCCAGTCATTGCAGCACATGTCTATGAGCCCAGCACTTCAGGAGGCTAAAGCAGGAAAATCCCAAATTAAGCAAGAAGGACAGAGATCCAAACGGAAAGGAGCTGGCCCTGTTCTGTCTCCAGGTGGCCGCTTGCCTGGGAAATAATCAAATCCTTCTGAACTTCAAGGTTCAAAGAAATAGAAAATGAGAACTCAGGAATTTTCAAGGGAACAGAGAAAAGGGCAGGGCAAATTCATGCTGGGACAGAACCAGCCAGATTGTTTCAGCACTGTGTAGGTGCTTGCCTTTTACATGGTGGCTCGTTACCTTAGCTAGTAGATGTCTTGTTTATCTTCAGGCCAAGGTGTTGGAGCCATAGTGAGTGAGAAGACTATGGCGAAGGACAAGAACTCAAGAGCAGAAGTCTAGCGGGGAGTACAAAGGCAGTTCTCTTTTAAGCCAATCAGTGTGCCATGCTTCAGCTCAGC